CATGATCAAAGAAACATCAGAAAGCTGGTCGGGAGTGCTGCAAGCAACGTGCCTCGTCCAACATCACATGCAGTAGTTCTGGTGCTCCAGGTGCCTGACGCTGGTCTTGCGCCAATCAATGCTGATGCTGAAACACGCACACATATTCTGCCGGGCACAAATCTTGTCGATTCTGTCGTTTTCATGCGAGCTAGTCAACCTTGCCCCTGCTATGCCTCGTGAGAACATGTGAGATGCTCCCAGATAAATGCTCGACTGAGATGGGAAAACCTGCAGAAACTGCGAAACCCGTCATTCGTTCGTAGGCTGCGCCTGCCTCCAAGGACTCCGCAGCCGGCTCCACACCAGCCTTTGATGTTCGAAGGATCAAACAGCACACCTCACGCATCCTCACGCGCTCTGCCTCTGCCGCTTGAACAAGCCAGTCACACACGGAGTCCCCAACAGGCGGCCCTCACAGATATCATCAGGATTAGAGTCGCCTGGCGCTCGGCCGTGGCAGCTCCAATCCTGCAGCAGAGTCAGTAGAGACAGGCCGCAGGAGGCCCGGACACGCAAAGCCAAACAAAAATCCAAACAAGGCCGCAACCTCGGACAATGTCTTCACCTTTGCGGCTTCGCACTAGGGTGATCGGTCTTTCCGTGCACCTGGGCGTGCAGGTTGACCACAATAACAATCGCCCTCTCTCACGTGCTGGCACAAACTGGGACAATCGATGCTGAAAGCACATGTGATGCCCATATACCCGATCAATAAGCACACAAGCACCAACAAGCTGGTACCAAGGATCACCGAGATTGAACCCGCATCGTACTTGCACATCGTTTGCATGATAGTGTCAACTGCGGCTACGAGTGGTTGATCAATTCACCCTTCACCCAGTGCATCAGGCATCGTTGCATCAGGCATGTGCACCGGCGCTCGTGCATTTGCTTGTTCAAGCATATTTTTGAAGTGCTGGCAACAATATCCAAGTGATATGGGCACAACCACGCTCACCTGCTCACTCGTTCTACACCCGTCCCGATTGCATGGGTCTGCAAACAGTTTGGATCAGGAAGCATATTTCTAACACTCCCATTCGAGCTTATGGCACTTATGCCATGTTTGTGCCGGTCATGTAGAAAGGATCTTTACTGGAGTGGAGCTGCGAGGCTGCGTCAGCTTAGAGCCCCAAGTATAAGTAGTATAGTAGTAAGAGCTGTTAAAGGACCAAGTCTGCAGCTGAGCTTGAGCGCAGGAACATCGCCGAGCTCCATCTCAGCAGTGTAGACTCGAAGTGCTGCTAAACCTGCAGGAAACGCACAGATCAGTGGCAGATATTCACTGACCATCACTAATTACCTGCTTCCCTCAGATTGGCTGGATAGTAGACAAGCCGGAAATAACTCTAGTAAACACTTGAGTCACCGTACAATGGTTGTTTTGCAGCATCTTACGGCCACTCTGCAGCCTAAAAGCAGTGATGACATCGCATGCGCCATTGAATGGGGCAGTCCTCGCTGGTCCCAGCCTTGCACTTGCAACACATCATGTTGAGATCAGCAGTTGGAACGACTTTTTCGGGCCGCTTTCACGCTACTACTAGCGGATGTTCACAGCATAGGCATGTCCACAGATGTCTAGTTTCGGAACTGTGAAATCGGTGTGCAGCTAGATTCGAACATTCCGTCGTTTGTCCCTTGCTCGAACAGGGCACATGCACTTTCAAAGTAAAGCACGTATCGGAGGATGCTGCAACAGACTGCAATCAAGAGATCGAAACTCTCGGATGCACCGCTGCCGCAGGGTTGTTACAGGGGTTTCTGTCAAACAAAACGAAGCAGGATGCTCAGCTCCATTTTTGAGGAGGCTTAGCCCCTGTGAGAAAGGTCAGGCGACTTCTCTGCAAGAGTTCACGGAACAGAAGCGGCTGATGCTGCCTCGTCTCCGCACAAGAAAGCCATCAGCCGAGCCCGAAGTCCCAAAGTTGCCAAACGAACCCATCCGCAAGATGAGTTGTGCCGCTATGCCGCTATCCCTACAGTAGACCTATAGTTTCAATTCAAATCCTCGATCGCAAGACAGTCATTTCTCCTTTTAAACGCTGTCTGCGTCAACGCTGTCTGCGCTGCGAGTCTCGGAGCCGCGTTTTGGGGAATTCCCATGGGGTAGCGACGGATGCCTATGGGGCCAAGGTGCTAGGGTTAAAGTTTAGGAACGGACAGAAAAGCAGGACCGGCACGAATCTTGTGACACGTTGTACAATACGATATTTGCCCTGAACACCTCCAACGCTGCAGAATACACAACTTCATCAATATCATCATGAAAGCCCATGAGCTCAGATGCGTCATAGTCCACAGAAGCATCCTTGCCTGAACTCGTTGGCCGAATGTCCACAAATTCTTCAGCATGACAATGTCCCCCAAACATCTTGTGGAAAAGGCAGATGGATATGTCCCACTCTTCCGTAAGACCCACAAAGGCGAAGCCCTCCTTCACTCGTCGAGCTGCCTCTCTTGCATCATCGGAGGTCATGGGCCGGTGCACGTCGAGAAGAGTTCCTCCCGTCGATCGCTGGTCCGCTTGTGTAAGTTGGTACGTCATGCCCCCCTTCATTAGGTCTGCATACTCCAGAAAGGGTGGCTTTGTCATGTTCTTCAAAGTGTCAGACCAGTCAAAACAACCAGGCCCATTGCCCCAAGAATGGTACATTGAGAGAAGGCGTTGATCGGGATCACGGAAAAATCCTACCAATCTACCTTCTTTGGCCGTGTAGTTGCCGAGGGCCTGGTGTGGAGGAAATATGCACTCCATGCCTGAACACCACGATGGACACACGTTGGTGGAGAAATTCGGCCCGAAACAGGGACCCAGAGTTGTGCTATCGACGCTGTGCAATGCCAATCCTGGACAAACACCGGGCAAGTTGATCAAGGCGTTGATGAAGGAAGTACCACATTTCGGACAATGGAACCTCAACTGTTTAAGATTCAGGGCTGAAAGCAGACATGCCAATTAAGATCAAACATGAACTCCCCGGTACTTTGTCAGGAGATCAGGCGCGGCTAGGCACAGTTCAGGCAGGGGGCCACCACAGAGGCTCGGCAGCTTTCAAGCGTTCTTCCGGCAAGCCAAATTCTGTCGCCGTGCCTGTCCGTAGATTGCTCATGAAACATCACCTGGTTCGTTATCGATTTGAAGAAGCGTCTTGTCTATGCGACAGTGTGCACTTGACATGCTGTCCACTCTGAAGAAAGTGGGTGCCCCACCCGCACTTAGCATCCCAATATCTTGGCCCAGCATAGCAACCTTAAATTCTGAACAAACTACCGGGGGCATAATTATGCAGGGATGGACCGAAATAATCTAGATTGTCATATTCCTCGGTCCTGCGTGTGCTTGCATGGCACCCAGCGATCGCCCACGCCAAAATGGCGACGGCGATCACAACTGAACATGCTGCTCCACCGAACGCTCACGAAATCTCAACCTACCTAGCGGTTGATTGAGGACATGTATGGAGAAGGCGGATTCCCTGCCTGACAGAACCAGCTTTCGTTGAAGCAGCTGGGTGGCCCAAATGTCGTCACCGTGTGCATCCATGAAAAGTGACGCAAGCAAGCAGAAAGCTCGGGTGGTCTTCAAGGCACCGGACATGTCGCGAGATGAAACGGTTCGAGATCGGCTATAAGAAATTGTCTAGGCCTGAATCGGTGGCGGCACGCAGGCACGAATACATTTGTTCTCATGCCTTTTTTCGAGCATGCAGACCCTAGACCCTAGACTTTTACCCCTGAATTGGCATGTCATGTGCCTTCTTTCAAACCTCTCCAAGCGGGAGACCTCCCCCGGCAAGCCTCAACCGCCTTAACTTAACCCTGAACCTTAACCCCAAAACTTTGAACACTAAACCCGCGCACATAAGGCATGATTTCGATCAGCATACCGCTTTCCGGGTCTCTTATCCTTACAGAAAGGGCATCGACAAGGGGACCCCCATTATTTAACAGCCCCACAAGCACTTAGTCCAGCAACATCTGCAGCTGACCTGGTCACAACCAAAACTTGAGTTTGTGCGTGTGTATAACGGTACTGGGGCCGAGGTGGTGGGGCTTTAGTTTGAGATTGAAAAAATACAATTCAACTTTCGGAAGGCTTCAGGCTGAATCGCAGGAGTTTGCACCGCGGAGTTCGGCATATGCCGTTCAACAAGGGTTTAACACATCCCGACTGGAGGAAGACACAACTTGAACCTGCGCTCATACAGAAAATGCGTTGCCTTGACCTATCTGGGCTCAAGGGTAGCTAGGGGCCAACTTTGCTGAGCACAAAGAAGCTTCTGAGTTCTAATGCCAACACAAATACGAAGGATCGAGCATCTGAGGGCCCAGGCCCATTGTGGCACTTATGTCACTTTGTGTACTGTGCGCCTCTCTGGGGCGAGCGCACTGGCGGTCTCCGCCGGATCCACGCTCCAGTCCTGAGGCTGGTCTCTCATCTTAAGAAGTCTACGTCTACGCACGCAGAATATCGAAACGCAGGTCCCAGAACCGAACTACCGAACTCACACGCCCTGATGGGCACCACAAGCTCAACCAGCAGGAGCCTCTCAAGTCAAAGACGCGCCGCTCGCCGCTCATCTTCCTGTGGCCATCCGAATCAGTCATCCACAATGCCCCAGCATGAAGAAGTGTCCTGTATCCCAAGCATGACTTCATGTGACACCAGATTCAGGGGTTTGGGCGTCAAAGGCCGCAATACGGTTACGGATCCTGCATCTGGACCAGGCTGGCTTTTTTTTGTGTAGCACTGGGCAAATCTTGTGACTCTTGTGGTGCACAATAGCAAACTACCCGCCGCTGCAAATGATCCTGTTGCAAACATGTGGTGGGTCGCCACGGACAAGGCGTGGCTCCGGAAACTGGACGTGTGAATGGCGGCTAGCATGGGAAAACCAGAGAACCTGGAAACCTTTGCACTGGCTGCCTTTTCCTGTACCTCTCGATTGGCGCTGCTAGCTGTCTGGGTTGAGCTTCTTGAAGGTCTCGACGGCAGCCAGCATGTTCTCCTCGCTGCCGAAGAGCGTGACAGCCCGGCGCTGGAAAACCTCCTGCGCAAAGTTGTAAATGGCCGTGCTCTTGTCTGCTACGATCGTGGCCAATGCCTTCTCCTCTGCGGTCCAGTCGAGCTTATTGTCGCTGTTATCGAAAATTTCTGGGATGCTTCGGAAGACGGCAGCTAGCTGCTGAGGCGTCTGGCCGTAGAGCTTGCCAAGGCTCACCAAGCCTTCATCAAGCCTTTCAGTGATGCCAACCAGGTCGAACTGCGTAGCAAGAGCGAGCTTCGCCCTCTCGACCGAGCCATCCCCCAGCCAAGTCTCGTACTCACAGCAGGACCGCAAGAGCATGAACCTGGAGGTGGATCCAGCATCCTTACCTGAAGCTTGTTGCAGGAATTGCTCATATGACCAGTTGCCGGTGATAAAGTCCCTGCGGAACTTCAACCAGGACTTGAAACCTTGATGCGAAGCCGCCCGGTTCCCGACATCAGCATGTTCGACAGTTAAGTTTGGGAGGAAGCCGTTCCCGCCAAAGTAGTAATAAGAACGAAGTCTCTCGATGGGCTCCCTGAGGATCGTCGTCACGATTAGGCGCTTTTGATACAAGTCTGAGGGCAACCAAGAACGTGCCCACTCCACTCTCCAAAGCAGCTTTAAGCGTTCCGAGCTCGGCCACAGGTTCTGCACATCGGCCAGGTCCGATGTCAAGGTGGTTATGTCCTGACCCGAAACGGCCTGGCGAATCACTGCCATGCTCGTGTGGAAGGTGCAGCTGTGTGCAATCCCAGAACAAGACTCATTCTTTCCAGGATGTTGACCACACCACTCGAACCTCGCTGCGTCATGGGGGTAGCGCTGCTCACAGTCCCAGTCCGGGTTCCCACAGTCCTTGCTGCAAGAATTCTCTTCGTGAGAGATGCCGTCAATGTAGGCTCGCCACGTGCTGCCGGCCACCTTGTGGAACTTCACAAACAAGGAATAAATTTGGTCGCCGCTCGAGCCGACGGAATCCCTGGTGTCCTCCAGCTTCAGCGTGTGCTGCAGCAGACTGAGCTTTGCTGGTGCGGGGCGCTCTGCAAAACCAAGGCAAGCAAAGCAAAGAACATGGAGGAACGGTACGTAGATCATGGAGGGCCCTTGCCAAGGGCAGGCTTAATGGAGTGAAGCCGAGGCTGCGAAGGTCACGTGCATGGTGTGCGACGTGGATGGTGCCTTGCAACTCGGGTAGCGGATGGTGTTATATAAAGAATGATGGTCAGAGCTACTCCAAGTGTAGCACGGATGCTGGAACCTCTTGACATCCTCGATCTCGCAGTTTGGGATTTGAGCTACTTCAAACTTTAGGAAGACTTCGCGCTTGGGTCTAGGCCCGTCGAGAGGCTTTCGGAGTGGAGTTGAAGGTTTGCAATCTACCGTTTCGGCTTTGAAGCCCTTGCTGGGACCCTCCCCCTCCTGCACTTCGTGAGTTCCGGGCATCAAGATGCATCAAGAAGTGTATTGGGTTTACGGCTTGTTCCGGGCACTAAGCGCAGTTTGCGGCTCGAGCGGACTTGGTACATGATGGCCGTTCCCGAACACAGCAAGACAGGACAGGAGATGCACTTCATCCTTCGAACCACTTTCTTTGTTTTAACGCTGTCTGCGTGTCTTTGAGTGTACGCTGCAACAATTCAGGCAACCTCCGTCGAATCTGACCAGGCACCGATCTCTCTCGTGGATCCCGGTCGAAGAGGCGCTCAAGTAAGACCTCCTCGCCCTGCACTTCTGTAGCAGTCCTGGCAGGTGTCATGAGACACATTAAGTAGGATCAGGTTCTTGTGGAAGACCTTCAGGGCCGCCGTGTAGACTATTTCATCAATGTCGTCATGCCAGCCCACGAGCTGAGACGTGTCATAGTTCGTGTGCGCAGACTTCCCTGCAAAAGTGGGCCGTGTGTTTGCGAAGTCTGAGGCCCTACAAGTTCCCCCGAAGGTCTTGTGAAAAAGACACATTGACAAGTCCCACTCTTCTGTGATGCCCACAAAGGCAAAGCCTTCCGTCACTCTTCGAGCTGCCTCCACTGCATCTTCCCGCGTCATCTTTCTTCGGGTTGGGTCCATCATATGTGCATCTGAAGGTGCCAGCAGCTGATATGTCATACCACCTTTCCACGACTCAGCAAAATCATGAATGGGCCTTTGAGGCAAAGACATGATTCTTGCCATTGCCGCACGATCACAAACCCCTTCAATAACAACTTTTATGTAGTCGGTATTGTTAGTGGGGCGCGAGAAAGGCCCCTGGTAGCCCGAGAGGATTCGCTGGTCGGGATCTCGGAACATGCCGACCAAATGGCCTTCCTGGCTGGAGTAATTGCCAACCGGATGGTGCGGTCTAGCACATAAGAAGTAGTCCGTGTTGCACTGCTGCTGACAACCTTGTGGCAACCTGGCAATGTTTCAACTTACGGTTCTGCTGCTTATGCCAATCTACAGATCGCTTCGGATACCAACACCGAAACGGCATACTGGATGTCGGCCCCGCAGCCAAGTGTTCAGAAAACACCAGCCTTGGATCTCGTCACTCATCGTGACATTGTCCAGGACTGGGCAAAAACCAGGCATGTGGATGATCCCGTTGACCAATGAGCTGCCGCATTTCCTAGGTTGGCCCTTTACCGCTGAAAGCCATTCAACATAAGATCATCTGAAATTCCCATACGTCATTTGTTTCAAATCGTTTGTCAGGCTTCGCCCTGGAACAGTTTTTTTTCCCCATGGTCCATCGGAAGGACCTTTGGAACAACGCCAGATGTAACAAAAACATCCCAATGGGCCTAGCTTCGGGAAGTGGATCCAATTTAGCGGTTCAGCACCGCGCAAGCGCTTCCATTGCTTTTCTGGAGCCAGGATCACCTTCTGCTGCAGAAGCTGCAAATGGTCCATGGCCGACTCGGCATGACCCGCGATTGCGATGGCCACAAGGACGGTCGAAAGCATGGCGCGGAAGGGGGCTCCGCAATTGCGGGAATGGTTCGGTCTCGAGCTCGGAGGCACCCACCAAGAAGAACTCACAACATAAGCAAAAGAGCAGAGAGCAAACACTGAGAGATGTACTTGCGGGAGAGGGAGAGACAGAGAGAGAGAGAGAGAGAGAGAGAAAGAAACAAAGAGAAATAAAAACAAAACAACAAAGTAGAGTCCAAAGGCCAAGGATTCGAAGCCTCGCCTGGACTACGGAATGCCCTGAATTGCGCAGAATACAAACTCTTGACGCAACCTCCAGCTCCAGCTTCGGACGTCTGGCGGGTCCTGCCCGGGCAAGGTTTGGGGCCTAAAACTCCTGACATTTAGCGCCTAGAGGGTTCATGCTCTACCGTCTTGCCCTCGCAACAACATACTTGAGAGCTGGTCACGAAAGCTAGAAGCACGAGGTCCGGTGCTGAGCTCTGCAAAGCGATGTGCACGACAGTAGCGGAGGGAAAGTTTGGGCCGGTGAAGGGTGCAGGCGTTGCTCGTAATGCAGAAGCAAGACATGCACTGAAACTATGCCAATCAGTCGCCGAACGTCAGACACAAACAAAACCAAGGGACCTTGAGGAGGGGGGGGGGGGGACCTCATGATAGGGGGGGGCCCCCCCCCCCTGGGCCGA